ACACATGGGCTAAACAAATCGCACACTTCCTTGCAACCCCAGTGCAACTCCTGTCTTGGGCATGTGATGCTGGTGTCATCCACATTGTTTCCTTCTTATGGAAGCTACTGCTGGTGCAGAATATAGCAGCTAGGTTGCTTGTGGACCAACAGGTAGCATTGGGGTTAAAGAGGCTGCACTGGCTGCCAATATGTGATTGGAAGAAGTTTAACTTGATTAGTATACAAAGTCCTAAACAAGTTGAGAGCAGGTTACTTTAGAGGCCACCTTATTCCTTATAGACCTGTCTGGTCACTGAGATCATCTGAAGAGGCTCTCCTAGTGCTGCAAGATGCTCCTGAAATCCATCTTGTGGCTACCCAGAGTCTTTGCTCCACATGGAAGGTACCACCACACTATTCTCCCCTTGGAAATAAAGCACACTCTGACCATTTTATGGGTTTGGCATATGCTGAAAACTTTCTTGTTCAACGAAGTATTTTCAGAGTGAAGCCGTAGGATTGTATTTTATGCTGTTGTATATTGTTTTGTATTGTATGATTTTTTAAAAAATCATTTGTACACCACTTTAAGGTTTTTAGAATTTTCAAATAAAAAAAAAGTTGGTTAAAAAAATGATTCCTCTGAAATCACTGTGACTAACTGCCAAGTAAATGTATTTAAGAACAGGGTGCCAATATCTTTTTCAATAAAATATTGGTCCCTAAGCAATTACAGTATTCTTCAAAGAGAACAGTGCAACAACATTACCATGAAACCTTTACTGAAATGTAGTGCTATGAAAATAAAAAAACAATTATTTTCACAGCTCTCATGTGAATACTATTTTTTCCCCCATCATTTGTTCCCATGCACTCTCTTGCATCACACAAAGTGGTCAACACCTATGGAAACTCAGTTTTCTAGATCGGTTCCTATAATATTCATAGGCATAATGATCATGGCAGAAACCATTAAATTAAGTGCAAGAAGGGGAATGTGGAAGCCAGCAATGGAAGCTTGGGAATGACATACAAAAGAACTTACATCCCAAGGCTGTATTGTTTTTAGTAATCGGTTGGAAGCCGCCCAGAGTGGCTGGGGAAACCCAGCCAGATGGGCGGGGTATAAATAATAAATTATTATATTTTTATATAAGGCAGATCTACAAGATCTTTGAAGGGGTGTGTGGATGTGTGAAAAGTTAAACAGGAAGTAAGATTACAAGTGGTCCCACGTTCTACATAAGAGAATATAGGATGGCTCCAGATCTAGGGCTAATCCACACACCACTATTGGACTTCTTTTCCACTGTAGCATCATTGAGGTCAACATAGCTTAAGCATGGCTGCAAGGAATCAGTACTCCTTTGGAAACCCAGACACTGATCTCAAGTGTGTCACTGCAAAAACTTCAGAAATATTGTTATCTGAACTGTGACATTCATTGTCTCTGTTTGCAATATTGCAACAGAAGTGCAAGTACAGAGTCTTTCTTCCCTACATCAGTTCTGTCTGGAATAGTACAACCTGTCTGCTGACATGTTGCACTTCCTGCATCAGCTTGTGGACGCAGACAGTTGTGCCTACACAATCAGTAATATTCTGATCATTAGTTTAGTAGTTAGATACGCAGTGACACCTATGCTGCTGTGCCATTGTTTACAAAGTGACTGACTGCTTTTCCTGTCAATCATTCCAGAATGGAAACCATGGTACTCTTCTCCTATACACATTCTCTAGCTTGCCCAAACAGTAATAACGACTCAGTTCCTATGCAACAATTTCTGACTGTAGGTTTCCATGATGAAATACGCAGTCACATCTATTTAGAATTATTTGTCAGTAACAATGAACCTTTGTCCAGCTGTGACTATTTCCCCACTACTACAGCCAGGCCTTATCTGCTCAGGAAATGCCTGTTTTAACTGACAGGTAGGAGATTAAATCTACAGCTGCTGAAACACAATCTCCACTGTTAGATAGGCTTTCATTGAAAAGCACTACAAACACATAATTTGTTTATGTTGTACCAGCAATCTTTGACAAAGCAGAATGTCTAGCTGAGACAAATGTGGTTAAACCCATTTATTGTATTATTTCTGCTACACAGAGCAAGCTCTTAAAACATAGAAACTAGTGAAGGCACAAAGCTCTAGCTGTCTAAAGAAATCAAGAATAGATGACTTCTTGTTACACTAGCTCCCTTTACACAGCAAAGCATGCTCCCTCCTGGAAAATATCCATTGCATTTTTTAAAGCTATGAGGTTCAATGATACTTATGTTCTCAGGCTGTAAGATTTATTTGTTTTGTACCAGGCAACAGAAAAAGTTAACCATTATCTTAATAACTGGAGATTTTAAAAACCATAACTTTTTAAAATAAAAAACCATCATGCTTTTTGCATGAATTTATTTTTTTAAATATCTCTTAATACAGATGGCATCCAGGAAACTGAGAGGGTAGCAGAAGAGTCTACACACATTGCTGCAAATACTGTGATCTAGAACAAGCTCCTCTGTGACAATCTGAATAGTGTAACCCATGCTCCTAACCATATTTGAGGTCTCTATATACTTCACTCATGCTTGTGTGGTGTAAACATTCCAACCCAAATTAACACTACTGTAAGTTGTGTGCATATGTGCATAGAGTAGCATTCACTAACAAAAACTTCACGTTCTCTTTCAAACCAGGAAATCATGTGTGTATTTCCTAGGTACTGGAACAACAGCACAAGTTACCAAACAGAAAATTTTCACAGAAAGAGCAATGCATAATTGGGAGGGACTGAAACTGAGTTAGCATCCAAATGCATCAATCATCATTCACTTTCCTCCCATATTGCCCTATTTCCCATGAAACTTTTTACAAAATAATTATTTTTTATTTAATCTTATTTGTAATAATCACTGTTGGATTTGAACGCTAACCCAGGAAGTGCCACTCACAATGCTGCATTTGGCATATATATATATATATATATATATAGTATGCAATAAATGGGCTGAATCCATAGGGAATCCCTCAAAAAGCATGGATAATGAGGGGAATCCATAACAGACATAAACAAATGCAGAACGATGTCTGTGGCCAGCATCATTATGTAAGATATATCGGCATGTATTTGAATGTACAGCTTCAAACTCGGTGTCTATTACATTGATTCAATCACAGTGTGGGATTCAAACAAACCTTGCCTTTGGAGAGAGAGAGAGAGAGAGAGAGAGAGAGAGAGAGAGAGAACTGAGCGAGTACTGAGCATGATGCACCAATCACTTAAGTCTTGTGAGAAGGCAATGCAAGTTTTACTGTTAGCACTTCATTACAGCAGGACTACATGGAAAAAACAGGTGCCCATCCTTACCTGAAAACAGATATTCCCTGACCCACACTTCCCAGCCTCAGTATTGCAACCTTTAAAGCTGCTGTCATCTCAAAGCTGCATTTCAGTTCTACACACAAGGGACACTTGGGAAGATTTCATATTAAGAATTAGAGACCAGTTTTAGTTCAAGGGTTTTGATGCACACCTTCCCATGTTTTTTTAAGCATGATACTCATATCTTCTCCAAGAATACAACAATAACACTAGCAAATCTTTTTGGTAATTATTAATTTCACTGTAGAATAGATTTCATTGCTATGCTTGGCTTGTTAAAAATGTATTTTGTTCACCTCAGGGCACAGCATTAGCCTGTGTATTTGCTCTTTCCATTTTTTCCCCTGGTTCCCCAGGTTTTGTTTAAAAATTCTACTTAAGCCCGGATATTAATCACTGCTCAGAGAGTAAAAGAATCTGCAGGAACAGCTGAAGTGCTATATGCTCCCCCTTCTTTGTCTCCAGACCAGAAGCTAGTTAGTACTGGCAGGTTTTACTTATATTTGTGTAGAGATATTAACAAGACATAAAGAAAGAAAATAAAGGGGGAAAGTTAATTAAGAGAACAAGAAGGGCTAGCCTGGAGGTATGTTCAGTGGAGCGGGCTGTCAGGTTGCAAATCACAGTTCTAGTCCTGGGTTCCCTAGGCTAGAAAGGGATGAAAACAGGCGTGATGTTCAGCCTGCAGTTGAAGGAAATCCTGAGCCAACTACTACATTCATGCCCACAAGCTGTAGCGTGAGATGCCAGACATATCTAGAAGTGCCTATTCTCCATCTTGGTAAGACAAAGAAACCCAAATATTTCTATTACTCAAGAGTCTGGGACTTACAGCCTGTCAGCTGCATTGCTCTGCAGTTTTACTCATAGTTTTCTTCTTCTTCTTCTTCTTCTTCTTCTTCTTCTTCTTCTTCTTCTTCTTCTTCCGTATTGCTTTTAATGTAATTATAAGCCACCCTGAGCATTTGTTACAAAGGCATGATATAATCCCAACTATAAATGAGTGAATAAATAAATATCTTCCCTTCCTCACTAAATCTGGAGCATTTGCTTGTCAGGTTCAACTTCACAGTCAATGAGGGCAGAAGAGCACTGAGTGAATCCACTTCAGCATTTCCCTTTGCCAAAAGGGAACTACCTTGAAATGAAAAATACAAATCCTGGAGGTGAGCCATGTGGAGCTGTCCCAGTGTACTCTGATGGCACGAGGAGTAAGGAAACCACATTTGACAGGAATTAGAGAAGACTGAAAAAATAATCAGGACAGTATGACGGGATAAACTAATGACATTGCCATGCCAAATCAACCCATAGGTCAATCTCTCTCTTTTTTTAAAAAAAACAACAACCAGAAGTCCATCTTGTTCAACACTCCTCTCCCTTGTGGTCTGACAGATATGCCTGGGAATCCCACAAGAACTATGGATGGCAGAAAAGGAGGGCTTCTTTCTTCCCATGCTCTAGAATCATAACTTTTACTGTGATGTGCCCTACTACACATTAAAGAGCTTCCTTTCTTGCACTACTCTCTCCACTTTCAAAACTCAATAGCTTCTTCTACCAAGACTCATCTTTTCTGTGCTCCTTGCATCTCTCCAAGGAGTTCCTGGAAGAACTTAAAACTAAATTTAAAAATTCCTTCCAGTAGCACCTTAGAGACCAACCAAGTTTGTTATTAGTATGAGCTTTCGTGTGCATGCACAAAACCTCATACCAATAACAAACTTAGTTGGTCTCTAGGGTGCTACTGGAAGGAATTTTTTTATTTTGTTTCGACAACGGCAGAGCAACACAGCTCCCTACCTACCTGTAAGTGGAAGAACTTGGTTACTGCAGTTCATGCACTGCTAACCTCACAAGTAGACTACTGTAACACACTGTTTGCGAGCCTTCCCTTGAGTTTGGTTCTGAATTTGAACTCATTGTTGTCCCTAGGTATACAACATACTGTTACATCTGTGTTGAACAAGCTACACTGGCTGTCAATTAGTTACCAAGCTATGCTCAAGCTTTTGCTCCTGGCATATAAAGCCCTAAGCAATTTGGGACTGGAAATCTCGCAGACTGCCTTCCCTTATACATCCCTGGCTGATTGCTAAAATCTCCAGTAGTGGCCTTGCTAGTTTCACCATAATAAATAGAGTGGTACCTTATGACAAGCCCCCAAATACCAGGAGGGGACTAGTTTGTGTACTCCTGCCTCCATAATCAGTGTCATTTAATGTTTTCTTGTACTTGTAAATGTTGTTGGATACTGCCTTGATATTTTATGTGAGGGGCAGATTATAAGTATTGGTTTTTTAATAAATAAATAAATAAATAAATAAATAAATTGAGTTTCACGGCTCAGTTGAGATTTTGAACCCAAGACTCCACAATTAAAGTTCAACCCTAACCTATTCACTGCCCAGGTCTACCTTCTGCTAAGCAGAGTGTGGTTAGGTTGCTGACTAAGAATAATGTCATGCAGATTAACAAAGCTAAGTGAGTGAAGAGGGGCAATCATAGCATTGTAGAGTTGGAGGGGACCCCAAGGATGATGTAATCCAACCCCCTGCATTGCAGGAATATACAGCTGGCCTGTAAGTAGATTGAACCCATGACCTTGACGTTATCCTTACCCGGCTCTAACCAACTGAGCTAACATGATAATAAATTGAAAACAACAGCAAAAGGAAGTATCTAGGCAAGAGATTTTGATTCATTTATACGTAATACAACACAGGTAAAACCAGCAAATCCGTTAAAAGACGTGTGAAATAATGCTCAATAAAACAGATAAAAAGCTGTAAAACTTTTACATACAAATATAGATAGCTAAATTTTATGTCTCAATAGGCATGTTGAAATGAAAGTTTTCAGCAGGCATCTAAAAACAACATAGTGAGATCACCTGCCAAACATCAATGGGAAGGTTGTTCTAAAGTGTAGGTTCTGTGCCACACTAAAAGACTGGCCCATCGCAAATGTTTCATGAACATGTAAAAGTAAAAGGTCTGCAGACTAAAGCAGGCGAGTGGGCACAAATGGTAAGGTAGTTCTTCAAGTAAACTCAGTCGTATCCCAAAGAATGGGACAATTACACAAGGAAGAAAGTCTGTGTAATGAGAAAAGGGGAAAAGAAAGGATGGTTGAGGAGAGTTGAGGGAGGGAGGAAAAAGCTAGGTGTAGGGTTTACACATCTAAGCACAGTCACCAGAAATTTCAAAGGAGACGAAACCTCCTACCACTCTACATTCACAGTAACATCCAACAACTGGCTTTTTTTTTTAAAAAAAAAAGGTTTTAAAAACCCACAACTCAACCAATAGGAACCTTGTTTAAGCTGTAACCCCTTTTCAACTTTAGTGCCTCTCTGTTCTGCTGAAATGTTCCGTTCTAGGGGATATCGAAATGCGGTCTTGCAAAAAACAAGCAAGGAGGTGCAGTATTTTGAAAAGGAAACAAGACAGAATGAACAGCTTAATCGTATTCGGGGAAGATTTGCTAAAACTTTATTATCCATCCAAATTTAGCGCCTCAGGGCTGTGTTATAATTTCTCCTTTTCACTTCAGTGCATGTCAAGATTGTTGAGTGCTGGTGACATAGATCACTGCTGGGGCTCCTTCAAAGCTGTGCTATACATCCAGCTGCACTGCCTCCTTGTCGCATTCCCATGAAGTCAATGCTTCAGTTGTTGCTTTGGACAATCAAATTCCTATCAGCTTTTAGCCATATTCCAGCTTCACAAGACACATCCTCACAATGCCCTCAGCAAGTCCACCGTATGGCCAAACAGCAGGAGGTCAAGAGATCAGCTCATCCATGTAAATCAATATTCAAATTTGCTTTCACAATTTGAGAAACGCTGTTTTGCCATATACACATAAAATAATCTCACCAAGCATACACATACACCGATGTAACAAAAACTAACAAAAGTCACATTGTGATATTACAATTTTTATAAACGTTAATTTCTGGCATAGAAAGGGAAAGAAAACATCATTTGGTGCTTGGATTTGCCTGCTGAAGGTAAATGCTTAGATTTCTCTATAGCTACAGGTGTAGATGCAATAGCCTAAAAAACAAAATGGAAAAACCCTCACCCAAATCAAATGAATTTTCAGAAATACCTGCAACCTTGGATCACTTTAAGACATATAAATGGGGTATCAATTTTTAAAATAACTAAAAAAATAAATCACTATTCCAATTTATAAACACCCCAGAATTATTTATATCAACCACTAGAAGTGGAACTTTAATTTGTGGACTTTAACCATGATATCTACACCTTTGCAATATTTATCTCTTTTTAAAAAAAATTTTTTTTTTACTGAATTTTCAAATTATAACAACAAATTTTCCACATATCTTATTTGAACAATTTATATTTCTCCCCTTCCCCCTCTTTGGCTTCCCCCGTATTGCCGTATTGATTTATTAAACAAATTCTATGCAATATTTATCTCTGACTTTTTGCCTGAATCCAAAAAGTGAATGAAAAGGAGGTTTGTGGAGGAAGGTTTCCTGTCCCACACTTCCCTCGCTTAGGATCCAAATCACTATCTATACCAGTACCATCCTATGGCACTGATAATTTCAAAGTAATGAGTGAGTCTGAGATTACCACCCACGAGGCCATTACAAACAAGATGTTTTTCAGATGAAGTTTTCTGTTTCCATATGTTTAAGGGTTATTTCAAATAATCAAATAGGAGAACTTGCAGAGTTGGAAAATTGACAAAAAATTCCAGTCAGAAGGATGTTGGGATTTCTAGTTCCAGTCCTCTCTGTGGTGGGAAATGGCACGCTGATGAGCAGCTAGAGCAACCCCACCACTGTCACAGCCCCTGCTTTTCCAGGCCTTGGTAAATTTGGGAAGCCCTTGGGGACAGGGAAGGGGGAGCCAGCAGTGGTTTGAAGTCTATGAAAAAATTGTGCATGCAGGCTTGAAGTATGTGCAAAAACTTAAGCTGCACAATGGAAGGTGCCAAACAATGCACCTATTAAATTGACATGATCACGGAAAGCACCAGGTGGAAAATAGGGCCGTATAAACTCAACCAAAATTTTTCCACCTGCCAACTTTGTTATAAATACAAACCTGTTATACTACAAGAGGAAATTTGGGGTGTACAAGACCCCAGTGAGCTATAATGGATGGTGCCTTTTCAACAAGTAGGAATAGCGCAATTTTGGCCCATGTATAGGCCACATTATCTTAATTAAATTACCTTTGATATCATTTTCAGAATAGTTTCTGTTCGTGATGAAATCTACATGAATTCACACTCTCTTATGTTTCTTCTTTTTAAATGCACTCACAAAGGCTACTCATTCCTATCATTTCATTTTACACAAGTGTGTGATGATGCACTGATAACCTTGTTTCAGCAATCAGAATGCATACTACTTCTTGCAAAATATCTCACTAAATTAAGACACAAAGAGCTACATTAGCTCTAGGGCTTCCACACTCCTGACAGGATATAGATAGATTTAATCTAATTTAGATGTTTAAAGTGATCTCACAGACACACACCTTTCAGGCAAGATGAAGCTGAACTATCTTTGTACAATTTTATTATTTCAATAGCATCATTTCTAAGGAACATATGTATACATGTAAGTCAGTGTGTATACACAACACACATATGTAGCTGAGCTTGAAAACATAAATATGTAATACTATGTCAGTGTTCTGGAACATCAGAGAAAAGGAAACAATTCAACTTGTTGACTGTTTAAATATATATTTGGTGGTGTGTTTTATGGCAATCAAGTTCTTTCAGTCAGACCACCCAAACCAAAACAAAAAGGAAAAATCCTACATTGTTTGCAATAATCTGGAAGCAAATTTAGGGCATATTCACGTTTTTCTGCGTTTTCCAGCTAGATTAAGCTGTTGTCTTCACAATTGCCTCCCAGCTGCTGTGACTTGCAAAAACAACAGACCCAGCTCTGTTGTCTGCAGAAAGCCTGGATTGTTATGAGTAACTTTATTGCAGGCGCATGAGTGTGTTAAGACTTTAAAACACGCTCAAATGTCATGTGCACACCCAGTGACGGGCAAGAATAATTATGAAAAAACAAGAATTCTATGTCTATGAAACACTGTCAGACAAAATGGGCCATTCATTGTGTCCCTTTGGGAATAGTCAAACTCTCCAGCCAGAAAACAAAAAAGGCACTTTTTTCTGCTGTAGGCTGAATGCTTAGCTTTGCCATCTGAGCCCTAAGAAAACATGGGCCCCCTCTCTAAATACTGGCTGGCTTGCACACAGTAAAATGTATTAATGTCCCCCTTTCCCCAGCAGCACCTTCTCTATAGGCGGCAGCCAATGTAAAGTCAATGCAAAGACAAAACAGTTTGCCTAACGCTCATGTTGTTGCTTTTTTTTTAAAAAAGAACAACCTACCATTCCAGCACAGTCTGAAAATCTCTCTGACACAGAGATTTTATTCTAAGGCAGATCTCCTTGTGTATTTTCCTGTAGCTGCTGTTAATGCTTTTAGCAGGTAATAACAGCTGCCTGCTGCTACACTTGAGATTCTCAAGGATGTATAAGAAGCTACCAAAGAGTAGGAATGTGTGCAGTTGTTAAAGGTCATTATCTACTTCATAGAAAAGCCCAATTCATTACTCTCTCATTTTCAAATCTCAAAGCTTCTAAGTACTACTGCATGCCTCTCTGTCATGTGCAAGAGGATCTGCTCAGGTTCCCCTTGTGCTCAAGCACACATGTGCACAAAATACCTATCACCCCT